GATATTTTCTGAATGTAAAGCATCAATTAATCGTTGAATTGTCAGCTGTATTGGTTCTTTACGATCCTCTACACAAATACCTTTATCATTGCGACAACTTTTGAGAGATGGAATTAAATTATCAGTATGACCTTTAATAAATTGTCGATTTGGAATATTAATGAAGTCATTTGAAAACCATTTAACGAAATCCACGTCTGCACGACTTAAATTAAGATGGCATTTCAGTGCTAATATTTGGTCCAAATCAAGTTTATTTGTATTTGGCTTTTGAATATATCCACCTTCATAAAGTTGTTCTCCCAAATTGGCTAAATCTTTGTCGGTATTGTAATTTCGTTGATAAAGAAGATATCCTATAACTTGATTGACTGACAGATTATTCACTGATGCAAATTCATCCAATTCCGAATTCATCTCACCTAAACGTCTTCGTTTCTGACGAGATGATACTTCGCTAAAATCACGTTGTCTTTTTGTTAGAATAGGGAGATGAGCAGTTGATGTTGATGTAGGTATCGAAGAAGTTGTCGTTACGATAGATGTTGATGGTGGACTTGTTATCACATAAGTTGAGCTTGGACTTTGTGTTTTGACACTTGTTGAAATGTCAGAAGATGGAAATGATTCAAAATCTTTTTTTGTGAAACTGAACTATTGTGGCGAGTACAACGAACATTAAAAAGTTCACAAACTTTTGTAGTAAATAAATCATTGTTTTGATTGCATTCATAATAATAATTGTAGAAGGTGTTTAGATTAAGATTATCCATGTTTTACGCGAATTCTATTCAACAAGGCTTAAGGTATTTGAGTTTTATCGAATGTAGATAAGAACTTAAATCGAAACGTACCTTATCAAATATTTGGATTGTTACGATAAAGTATGGTATATATTAAGATAGATGTAAATTATTAGTTTGTTTAGTTACTTCATATAAAAACGTGGCAGTATTTATTTTGTGTATGTGAAATGTATGTGTTGTACAGTGAGTATATATAGTGCAATTAACAAAGGGAGAGTGAATCTACAATAAACCATGAGAGAAGATATGATATGATGAACAATGAAAGAGTGAATAATGGAATCAAGAATGAGAGGAATAGAATGTGCCAAATTGACTGACGAGAAAGTTAACAGTGACATATAGATAGGATGACTGACTGAAGAAAGAGGTAGAGTATGAATGGAAACAGTAATTCAATACACACACAATGAAAAAGAGTTGAATATGAACGATAATGATTAGTTAGTGCAAGCAGAGACCATTTTCCTTACAATGTCCAATCGGCTTCTTAGTGGATTTTGTTATAAAAAAAGTCTTTTACATTTACCGAAGTGAGAATGGGTAGTGATTATTATAATATTCAACGTTTTCTTGAGAACATAGTTCATCCAAAAGAGGACTGTCAACTAAGTCCGCCGGTAGCGGTTTTTACATAATTTTCTTTTTTCTTGTTTTCTTTCGTATATTATAAAAATATGTTTCTTCTAAGATAATGAGCATTTCGCAGTATATTATTTCTCATTTCTGATTGAAAATTTTTTTTCTTAATGTATTTAATTAACGCGTCCACATCGACCCAAATTTTTACATCAGAAAAATTAATGTTATATATGGTTCGATGCAGCTCAACGAGCTGATTCCGAATATCACCTTGGTTTGGTGCCAAAGTCTTATGTTAGTCGAAAAATAACCGATTTAGGGTCAAAAACCATGGTTTTTGGAAAACCTCCAGCACGGTCCAGGATCACTGACGCGAATTGGCGCTATGGTAAACGGTAGGACGCACATAGAGAAATATTTGGCTAAAGGTTGAGCTCGGTTTAACTTTAGCTCTTTGTAGCGTTTACAAAATACGGAATGGTAAATTTCCGGAAATATTTTTAGCATAAAACATTTTCGGAAAAAATTAATGTTATATATGGTTCGATGCAGCTCGACGAGCTGATTCCGAATATCACCTTGGTTTGGTGCCAAAGTCTTATGTTAGTCGAAAAATAACCGATTTAGGGTCAAAAACCATGGTTTTTGGAAAACCTCCAGCACGGTCCAGGATCACTGACGCGAATTGGCGCTATGGTAAACGGTAGGACGCACATAGAGAAATATTTGGCTAAAGGTTGAGCTCGGTTTAACTTTAGCTCTTTGTAGCGTTTACAAGATACAGAATGACACATTTTTTGTACTGAATTTTAGCCTAGTAGATTTTTTTTTCTCTACCGATTTGACTTCAATCGAAACAATCTTTTGTTTAAAATGGAGCTCATAGATGAACAATTCGTTTCCGATAGTTGTTCAAATTAATCTATTCCCATAAATTGGTCAAAAAATAAACTTTATTTGTGGCTAGCGATTTTTGAAGAAATTTCTTAGTATGTGCTTTTCCAACGCTCATCTTAATTTCTGAAAATGCCATTTCAGGACAAAATAGACCAACAACAGAAGTAACTATTCCAATATTTAAACTTTGAAAAATAACACTTTCGTTTGATGTCCGCCTGGTTGCCCACTGTGCGCAG